CATTTAGATTTCAGTGGTGAATTTTAGCTTCTCTTGATGGCCTGAGTGCTCTGAAGAATTTTTAAGTATAAAACTCTGGGGTGAACATTGCAAACCAAAGAAAGAAAAAAAAAAGACATACTGGTACAGTTTGTCCTCCATAGTGTATCTAAACTAGGGGCAAATGTGTGGGCCTCTGCAGCCACACAACCTCGGAGGATACAGTAATTATCACCTCCAGGCAACATCCTACTCTCTTGTTAGTCCACTGAAGAGCAGGCTGGAAACTATTTCTCTCAATCCCACTCACTCCCTCCTTCACTCTGTCATTATCCTCTCTACTGCCCCTCCCTCTTCCTCTCACTCCTCCTCACTCAGACATCATCCTTCCCACTCTCACATTCACTTTTCCTCTGCTGCCTCCTCCTCTTTTAATAGATACCATTATTGAGGATGCGTCTTCACTGACGAGGAATCCATCCTTAAACAAAGCGCCTTCTTAGAAAATACCAAGCATCACAACAGCCTTATGTTTTGTCTCTGTAAATGATAAAGCACTTCTGTGTATAAAGTATCATAAAAGCTGAAACCGTGCGCCTATATTGTTTGGGTGAGTTAACACCTCATAAACAAGTCTCAGAGCCTCTCATAACATGGTATTGTATTGAGGTATTGTAAAGCCAGCACGTCCAATGAGCCGTGAGCATGCACAGTTATAAACACACACCCATCCATAGCACAAACCGGCGGCTGAGTGATTAAAGTCGGCGAGGCACTCTGGAGCCTTGAAGGGAGCAGTAATGATGCAGTGTCAACCTTTGCTCACACCTCATTGGCTCACGCTTCTGCTGAGTAACCACTGAGACTTAATTGAAGGGTGCGCTGTTGCCAGGTGACCATGGAGGCCTAATTGAAGGGCAACGCTTCATTGGATCTGTGCCTGTCCATCAATCAGATGCATTAGTAGGAGCTTAGCTTTTTATCTTTGTTGGCAAGAATGTGTTGACTGGATGGAATGGAGGAAAAGAGAGGGAATGAAATAAGGGGGGAAAAAAAGAGGGACAGGGTTGAGGTTATGAAAAGTAAAAAAAATAAAATTTTGAGGAGATAAGGGGTGCAGAAAGAAGAGGAAAGGGAAAGATAGAAGAGGATTAAAGGTGCATGGGAGACAAGAAAGACAGGAGGAGAAGGAAGTCCTTGGGGATCTGATTATCAGATTAAGGAGCAAATGCTACATCAGCAATATTGCAGCATGGAAATGAAAGCGGTCCTGGCAGGAAAAGAAGCCTAATCTCCCGTTTCTAAATAGATAAAACCTACGCGCAGCAAGGAAACGATCAGAACTCCAACTAAGAATGAAATGACATTGAATTCAATTTCACAAAAAAGATTCTCATTTCAAATTCTTGCAGGCCATGTGTAGGGATCTTAAGAATACATTTTTTATTCTAACACTGTGGTGTAGTGACAAAATTTTAAGTATTAGTTATCATTTCAATTAGGCAAGCATAACTTCAGCTCACTGAATCCTCAGGCAGGTGTGAAAGTACTTGTAAGTGGATTCCTACAAATAAGACGAGCTAATAAAATGAGAAAATGAAGGCTTTTAGTTTGTTAATATAGTGGAAACTGGGGAGGTATAATTTGGCATTACCATTAACTATGTATGTGGGTCTATGGTAATTAGGCTAATGAGTGGAAATATTCTATTATGCAGTGAAAGCCTGAACAAAGGTGTGCAGGCTTGACAGATTCACTCTACCATTATGAAAGACATCAAAATACTTTCTGTTCACTATGACAGCTGCTTGGGAAAAAGAAATGGGAGAAATAAAAGAAGCATCAGATGTCACCACCAGGTTACAAAAGCTCTGTTGAGTCTGTCAATGTTCTTGATTCCTGAAGACTTCTCAAGACAAACCAGGAGAGCAAATCTGAGAAACACAGCTTGAGGCGGTCAAAGGAGTCATCGCAGAGAACTCTTGTAACCGTACGCAGGTGAATGACTGTGAAGAGGTCAGCGGAGGGCGCGGGACTGATGAAAGCTCTGTCAAATATCAGTGGGAGGAATGGGCAGGCCGCAAACAGCCCCTCCGCTCCTGCTGTTGAGTGTGCAACGCCCGCGCCCCTCTGCCTTCCAAGCACAACAGCTCTTTCTCCCACTCGTAGGGAACTACAGAGAGGCATGAAAATAAGCCGCAGTGAATTGTGCATCGCTTTGTCGTCTCTGAGGATCTTCTGCACACAAAAAGAAAATACACCATGGGTGGAAAATATAACACATAAACAATCTCCCAAACTGGGACACTGGGCCTTGTGCACACATCCATAAGGGTCTGATGCACCGAGCCAATTTAAGGCAACATTGCTGGTGAAGCACTGAGTAGCATTTGTATTGATAGCAGAGAGATTATGAGAGATCTCTTCCCCTGCCCAGAAAGCTTAGAACTTATTAGTATTGTAACAACCCTGGCAGGGATGCACTAACTTCTCTGCCAAGTCTGAGCCACCCATTGGTTAGGAGGACTGTGTTGTGACTCGGACTATGAGTACAGTTTTTTTTTTTTTTTTTTTTTTAATATTTTTGAGATATGAGTCAGGGCACTGTGGCCAATGGCTTGAAACCTGGACTGTCCTTGGTTACTCTACTGACGTCAATCCATCAGACCGAAGCGGTGATTCACACAGTCATCCCTCGGTCAGCGTGACACTGTGTGCTACAGAGACCTAATTTCCATTTCAATTATTGGCCTAACACAGAATCCCTAGAGGTTATCGTTCAGAACAGGAGACTCGTGGACAGAAGATGCAAGAACTGAAGTCCTGAATTTACCTCCAGACTAGCTGCAGTTTGACTAGCTTCATTAACTCAGTACTATCTCTCATTGTGTGCTTCTTTCACTGGCCTTTCTGGACAATAAAATAAAATTCAATCTGCATTAACTGATTTTTTGCTGTAAACAAGTTGTAAACACAACTCTGTCATGACATTACTTTTTTGATATAGCATATTTCTTTGCTATCAGTGGCTTATTTACACATTTAGTAGATACAGAGAAACATTATAGTTCATTTGGAATAACGTTAGATTCCACCCTCCTTTTAGCTCTGTTGTTGTCTCCACCAACTCTGGAGAAACATATGAGTCTTTAGGCTATCGCTGCAAATCTGAGATTTTAATCGGAAAGATTTTTTACCAACACCAGCACCTGCCTGCCACCGAAAAAAATGCTGATATGAGGTGAGAGTGTCAGGGGCTTCAGAAACTGATGCACCTGGAGCGGCATCACTGTCAGGTGGATCGACCAGACACCTGTCAGTGCCACCTCTCCAATTATTTTCTTGAATTCTTAGGTCTACTTGCGAGACTGCCACCTCCTCCTGTTTGCCTCCAGCGCCAACATTTTGTTAAACTTTATGTAACTGCAATGTTGACTTGTATGCAGTGCACTGTTCTGCCCTCCATGGCCAGTTTTCGTTTCTGCCATTAAGTATATTGGCCTCGACTCATGTCTTCTGACAACCTCGTTTTACCCACTAAGGTCTCGCCCGAGGGAAATGGTGCTTACTAAAAGTCACTAAAACAGGAATATTAAATAACCAACAATATTATATTGTTTCTAAAACAAAAAAATGTGCTTATCTATCCAAGACTGGATATTTTTACAGTTTGTTATTACAAATATCACTGTGATTTTGAAAGAAGTTTTCTTAACACAAACGTTTGTGTATCTCTTTGGCTCACTGTATGAAAAATGACTCAATAATGGTTATCTAGTCTAAGCTTTCCTGGCACAGTGTTCCCTCCTAATATTCCTTTCTTCACCACTGTGAAACTTCATCAGCACTTCAAGAGCAGTGCTGTGTTAAATTAGATCAGAGCGTCGGGACTCTCAGTGGCCGGTTTTGTTTTGTACAGATGTTCCACAGAATCATAGCCAGACTGTATATAAGAATGCATCAGACAGCTCTGTTTTGCCTACAGTGGGCTTAAGTCCAACTAGTGTGTTAATCATGTGACGTTGGTGTGCAGCCAATAATGGTGTTTTTCAGGCCCTAGTGTGATGTTTACTGTTGCACCGACTGCAAGTCAATATTGTTTCTGAATGGATTTTCTCTGCTTTATTTTCAAGATGTTTTACTTCAGTTTCTACTACATCAACTATCAGCCAATCACTCAATCATGTGTGCTACAATGCATCCCATTTTGGTTTGAACACAGCTACAGTGTTATACTGATGTATTCGAGCCCTGGCAGCTAGGGAAAAAAAAGGAAAAGAAAACTATATTAGCAGATCTTGTACTGAGCAGTGGGATATATTACAGCTAGAAGCATTTTTAAAACATTGATTCCCTGCCAAGAAAGTCTCAGAGCAATATCTTCAGCCATATGGATGGAGGAATGCATTCTGCTGGAGCTGGCACCGGGCTCTCTAACAATATTTAATATAGATGTATAGACACAACCTGCTGGGAAATCATGCTCAAGACAACTATTGGGCTTAAATGGAACTACAGTTCAAACAGTGACTTGTGAACTTCACAAATCTCTATTAGTTTCTATTAGATATGGTAAGTGTGATTTTATATTCTGGGGAAAATTGAGCACAATACTGTAGGATATTACTCACTTAAAAGGTAAAATGTGTTTATGAAAGCAACGTATTGAAGTAATGCAGTGTCTGTTGTGGTTTAGCTTAATGTAATTCATGTGGTTTTAGTGCCTTTTCTTCCATGATTTCATATTCTGGTCATATATCACACACGTAAATTAGATTAAACTGGACAGTGCAACACTACCACCTCATGGAAAATGTGGAAATTGTAGAAACACCAATTGATATTTATGATTATAATGACAATTATATATCATGTGTTATATATAATATCTTAAAATCATCTATGAGATACGCGATTAAAACGGTCTCAAATACTTTTTTTTTTTTTTTTGATAGAGGGTCGCCAAAGAAATCAATAAGCGGAACCAATGACAACCGTTTTCAGTTGACAGGAAGCGGTCTCCTAATTCGGTTACACTGACTTAGGTTCTTCCGTTAGAGGAGCTTTTTGGCGTCTTTTCAAGTAGTTTGGTCATGTTTCGGAATGTTTCGGGTAAACTGGTGACAGAAACTGTTCGTGTTCACCGCTATGTGAAACATGCACCTTTGATACGGAGGGTAACACCCTCGTCTGTGTCTGTCAGGAGCTTTACGGATGTGAAGGACGAAGCGCAGCCGCCGTTTGACGCCTCCCTGCTCGATTTCCTCGTATGTCCGCTGTCTAAGAAGCCACTGAGGTAAGACGGACACATGCAACAGATTAGCTAGCTACATGTGAAATTATAGGAAATGCAACAACTGATGTTGTATTACCCGGTGAGATGTTGACTTCCTGGAGACAGACAGTTTCCTCAATTACAACTATCAAAATATTCACAGATGTGTCTAAACTCTGCGGTCACAATTTTAGGTTTTAAATATGTCAACCTATCTGAACGGGATTGCCACTTTGGTTAACAGTTACCAAAATGTTTTCTATCTAAATATTATTGAGTGACTATTTTGCCATCAAAAACAGTATTGCTGTAACAATATGGTTGAACTGTGTCACAGAATATGGTGTAACACTTGTTATGGTTAAATGGGACACCATTTATTCTTACTGGGTGGTAGCTGCAGCATTCAGATGTTAACTGACTTCAATTTCTTTTCCTTTCCCTCACCTTTCATGTGATAAACATTGCATACTAAAGACAATGTGTTTATTTTGAAGACATCTAAGGGTTTTTTTTTAGAACAGTGCATCACAGAAAAATCATGTTGCTCTTGTCCCTCACAGATACGAGGCTAAGACCAATGAGCTGATCAACGAGGAACTTGGCATCGCCTACCCCATCTCAGACGGCATCCCCAACATGATCCCTCAGGAAGCCAGACTCATTCAGAAAGACGCCGACAGCTCGACCACACCAACGCAAGAATAGAAGCACCATCACAAACAAAACCAACCCAAGTAAAGCAGACTCATTGTTGGACTGAATAAGTCAGTACTTCTGTCACACTGTAACTGGAACCCGCTCAGCTTAAATACCATTTTGTGTTGTTGCACAGTGAGAACTTATACTGCATCCTAGCTACCTGCTTAAAAGTACATATAATACATCACATTACTAATCCAACAGTACGCTGTATCCGAACCCATCTGCAAGTATGTTTTCCCTGTCTATGATGGTGGGGCTGGTCCCAATAGTGTCCCTCTTTGGTTTGTTCTACTCTGCTGCAGTGGACGAGAACTTCCCCCAAGGCTGCACCAGCAGCAACAGTCTGTGTTTCTACAGTCTGCTTCTGCCGGTCACCATCCCCGTCTATGTCTTCTTCCACCTCTGGAGCTGGATGGGGATCAAGCTCTTCAGACACAACTAGGCTGTCTTAGCTCTATTCTATTAAATCAAAATATCTCAAACACCATTTAAGCATCTACTGGTGATGTATATTGCATTTCTAACACGTTTTTAGTACTTGGTAAATAAAAGGTGAACAGTGAATGGTTTAGCATTACATCAGCATATTACAACCAGCTAGAATGAAGGTTAATAGTAGGAACTGTTGTTGCTTTCTCCACAAACACAAGATCAAAATAAGGAATAAATAACAAAATAAGACACATTGCTGGACATGAGGCAGAATAAAACAAGTTTGGCTGAAGGAAAGTGAATGCAACACACAAATCTTCACACAAATCTTTTTAACAGTTGGCAAATTCCTGTGTATAATAACTAGCAAAAATATAAATAAAGATGTTTTTCTTTCTTTGGAATAATGGTAATCGTCTTGCTTAAAAGACAGATCGACTGTTGACAAGTTTTGTAAATGTCAATGTACGAGTAAATCCTGAACATGTAGTTGGTACAGCCAGATGCTCCAAGTCATCTTGTGACAATTATGAACTTAAGCGTAGTTCATATTATTTGAGGTAACATGGAAGCTTAACTTATTAAGCTTAATCTTATTTGCGTAGGTCGTGGCAAATTATATAAACCCTAGGCACTGCTATGGAGGGGAAATGAATAAAGATGATGGTGCATAACAGTGTTAAAACTCAAAGACAGTATATCACAGATTGTACAGCAAGTAAAACACTGTTCCTGTACAATAAATAAACTTTAATTGATAACAGATAATTTACAGAACAGACAAAGGACAAAGCTCCAAGCTACAATTTGATGTGCAGATCGAACAACTGCCACTGAAAGTGATGTTTAAATGGAACTTGCACAGAAACCTGTGAGTACTCAAAACCCTATACCAACATTAAAGAAGCATCTAAATTGAAAATATAGGCAATTTACAAACACTGAAAGATGTCATCTATATAATAAAATGTTAATTATTTCCAAGAAGTACATTTTGGAATTAAATTTCCATGTACACTCAGTTGGCAGTTTATTATCCAAAAATGAGGAAGTCTAACAACAGTACTGCAATAAATCCTCCTTTGTGACGGTTATAATGTTCAGTTTGTGTTGAAACTGTTTTAGAGGGGGTGTTGGTTAAAATGTGATCATTTTGGAGGACACATAACATCTCTCTAGAACAGTTTCATCACAAACTGAACATAATAACCTTCACGGAGGAGGATTTATCGCAGGACTGTTGTATTAGACTGCAATATAGTAATAGTTCAGTGTACCTAATAAACTGCCAACTGAGTGTATATCATAGAGGGATTGAACTCCCTGACAGTGTGAATCTCAAAACTTTTCCTCAAAGACGACTTTCAGAGTGAGTAAGAGCTTCAAGAGCTGAATTTTGTTCACCTGCTAACCTGTGTGCGGCGCTCTTCAACCAAGACGGCTCTAACAATGTATTCCTGCTACACACACCTCGAATTGTGTCTTGAGTCTTCAACGAGGAAGAGTGCGGCAACCACACACTGCTGACCGCTCAGTGTTTCCAAACCTTGCTCATGACCTCAGTGGCTCTTCCTGCTTTTCATCTCTCTGCCCTGAGCAAGTTTCATCAGTGGAGACTCGGGTCTGAGGGACTGTCCCTCTCCTTTTGTTTTGAAAAAGAAGGATTCGTTGAGTCTCGTCTGGACCGCTCGGACCTGAAGTCAAACAAAAAGTCATTTTATTACTGAACAGTATCTTCAGTTACCTTTTTTTGCAAATTATACTAATTAACACAAAGGCCTCTTTGTTATCGCTTCGCAGGCACAACAGTTTCAAGGATAAGGGAACAGATCAATTAATCCATCTTTTAATTCACTCTTCCTCCCTGGTTCTCAGCCCCAAGCCCACTGGTTCTTACTGAAGATATGAATCTTTAAAATTGGTTCACATACAGTATATATAGTTATATATTTTAAAAGGTTTTTAATTTTTAGGCTTCAAAGTTTTAGTAAATGTTATTCCAAGAGGAGTAACGCAGGCGTCAGCAATTAGGGTAAAAGTTACTCAAAGACTAAGACTGTACAGTGGGGTCCAAAAATCTGAGACCACTTTCCCAATGGTCTCAGACTTTTCGCACTGTGTGTGTAATGTGTTGCGCTACGATACTACATAGAATAAATGAGGAGCAATAGTGGCCTGCTTCATTTATAGAGTTGTTGCCATAGAAATCTTTTTTCATCAACACCCCATGTCTGTCACCTATTTGTGTTAGAAACGCTAATCGTTGATTATAATTTATTTAATTAGATTTACATGAGCTTTGTATTTATATTGTTGCTAACAGCACATTTGGAAAGGATCATGTAAATGTTCTGATGCAAACTATAAAAAGGGAAACTTCAACTTTTGCCATGGGGCTAAATATTTTTGTTGCAGGGATGGATTTGACCGCTGTTTGCTTTCTACTGAAATAATAAATCTGTTGGAGATTATTTTCAGTGGCAGAGTAATACACATTTAGTACAATAGCTAGTGTTTACTGAACAGCAGCAGGACGTTGTATGTGAGATTGACTCAAAATAAACTACAGTGCCCATGTCCTTTTGTGATGAAAGAACATATGCAGTGCGGCTCACTAATGCGTTTTTAATAGTTATGGTCAAGAATGGAGCTCTGGCACAGAGGAATAAGATATATAAGGTTTCACACACACAGACAATACATGTTCATAGGATCAACTCATTTGTTGAAATTAGGAAAAATATAAAATATTGCAAGCCTTACGCTTAACACAGGAAACACAGGTCATTTATTAGGTGTCTTTTGAGGTATTGGATGTGTTTTTCCTCTGTAAGTCTAAGAAAAAATGATGAAACAGGTGTGAATGTTGAAGATTGTGCAAGATTGGTGGCTGTATGAACCAGTGTAACTGTAGGGAACTGTGGGTATAGGATCACGTGGTCTCACCTGGGTCAGGTCTGGCTTTCCGGTGCAACACGGGAGCTCGCTGTCTTCACTGGAGTTTGCAGACTTAGCCTCAGACTCTGACTGGGGGCTTGGAGTTGGAGTTTTGCCTTTACCCTGTGCACTGACGGACCCCTGCTGTCGACCAGAAGGCTCCTTCTTTACCTCGACATCCTTTATCTCTGAAGAACGAGATGGACGCATGCTTGGGTCTTTGTGACCATTACCTTTTGTCTTTTCTGGCAGTGATGATGGTTTCTGGTCATTGCGCTTTTCTTCATTCACTGCATTCACATTCACTGAAGGGAGGTCTTTTCTTGCCCTCCGTGGCAGACTGAGGTCCAAAGGTTTCAAGCTCTCAGAACATATAGTCACTACACGTTTTTGGCAGAAGTTGAGATAGGAGGAGAGTTCAGTGGTGAAGAAGTTTTCCGTCTGTGTGGAGATGCTTGCTTTTGTAATGAGTGGAAGCAGGGAAAGCCCACCTGAGTTTTGAAGATGTGAAGGAGACTGTTGGCTTGAAGAAAAGTAGTATTTATCTGATTTTGTAACATACAGGGAGGGGTTTACCACAACTGGTTCATCCAGGTAAGGATTCACTACACTTGGTTTTACATGTACGAGGCTGGACGCTTTTTTCTCTTCAATTAGGTTTGTGTTTAAGTCCTTCTGTTTCTGAAAGGACAAAGTTTTCTTCTTGGGAATTTGCTGTGCTAAGTGCAGCCCCTTTTCTTCTTCTTCTTCTTCTTCTTCTTCTTCTATGAGGACTACCTGTACTGTCTTCGGCCTCTGCAGGTGTTCCTTTGCCTTTTTGGGATACTGATAAAAATGAGACTGCTGTAGATGTATGTTTGATCCTTCATGTTGTTCTACCTGAACCCCAGATGAGTGCAGCCGCCTGTCTCGTTGTGTGACTGGTGTAGGAGATGTAATAAAAGCTTTGTCGCTGGCCTCACCACTTGAAGATTCGGAGGGCGACACCCTGAACTTCTTCTGCGTGATAAACAGGTCCTGGCTGTTTATATCATCAGCGGTGCATTGAGAGTCATTATCATGTGGTTGACTTGTCACGGTGACCTGTGAACAACTCTCAACGTCTCTCACAGCTTCCTCCTCTGAGAAGATGTTCTCTTTGGGTGATGAAGAGACAAATTTAGGACGTTTGACATGGATGTAGCCTGGTGATAAATCCCACGCCACTTTCTTTTTTCTTTTGGTTCTTTTTGAGTCTTGAGTCTGGTCATCAGGCTTTATTTTTTCAGTGCTGCAAGGATGTGACGATTCAGGTTTTGATTTTGCAAAAGGGCCAGATGCACCTGAGTAACCCTGTGTGAAAACAAAATTGTGATCTAACTCTACTGATGATTTGTTTTTCTTTACTTTCTTCTTTTCTTTCCGTCCCTGCATTGCTTCTGTGAATTTGGATTTTTTCTTTTTCTTTTTCTTCTGGATGCCCTCATCTGTTTTCTTAGTGATGTTGTTTTTGTGTTTTACACATGCTTTGTCCTTTCGGGAGTTCTTCTTTCTTTTTCTCTTCCCAGGTGAAATCAAAGACTCCCAAACGAAGTCTCTCTCCTGACAGTCACTCATGAGTCTGTGCAAAAGAAAAAGGGATATTAATCCGACACTTGTATAAATGAGTACATTAACTTTATTAAAAGAAAAGCCAAAACGAGTTATGGTTAGGCTATCTCTTAATGCAATTTCTGTTACTAATTAAATGTTATTACAGTAAACATGCACATAGGTCATCAATAAGCTCTGCACCAAGAGGAAATGCTATCACGACACTATGGGTGTCATGTTTTTGCATTTTCAGCCTTTGCATTTCTGCAAAATTAAGTTTTAAGCAGAACTACTTTGCTTGAACATTTTTATGGTTTAATATCAAACCCGGACACTAGGCGGGAAGACATGATGAATGTGTACTGCCTCTGCAAAAATAAACTCAATGAAATAAATTCGCTGCAGATGGCATAATCTATTTGCATAAGATCCTTAACAACTCTACCTGGTTTTAAATATTTTTTTACTGAATATCTATGATAAAACATTGCGTTTACAGAGCTCTCTGGGACATTATGAATTACAGCTCATTCATCCATAAATGAG